TTTTAATATAAATTTTATGGTTCTTCCTACAAATAACATTTAACATTTACGAGTTGCAACAAATGTTCTCCACAGAATTTCTGGGTAGCATATTCGATTTCTTCACTCAAAAATTGTTATGTCAGCCGTTGTACGTAATGTAGGGTTTCTATGACGCCTATCGGCGCCATTGTACGTTTTGCCGATTTCGGGATAACTAAAGACAGATTTCCTGGACAAGAACATTCCAAACCAAAAGTTTGGTCCAAGGTGAGTGCACGTCAACGAATAGAAGAAAACTCGATTTCATCAGTAACGTATTGAGTTTGAGTTGTTCATCCGAATTGGTTTTGTTAACATTTTTTACGTAATTTCTTATTGTTTTTAGGACATTTTTTAAACACTTTAAGAGCATTTTCGGTAATGTTATAGGTCATCAAAATCCCCTATTTATTATCTTCGATTGTCTTGCATCATATCCGCCTACTGATGGATTAGTTTTAGATGTAGTTAACTTTCACATTTCGCTCGACACCCTGAACGAGGATAGAGCACCGTAACTGATTTTTAAATGTGATGTAAACTTCAACTACGATTCTTCTCTACTCATCATCTGGTATTTGTACCGAGATAAGTGGTTCTGTTATAGAACCTTCCCACTACATCAACTCTGTGTAACTTGCAGCTGCAAAATTTAATACCGACACTTAAAACGTTCGGTTTCCAGCGATTTGTTTTATATTCCATTCGAAGATTCTATTATTTTAGTATAAATTATAAGATTAATATACATTTGAAACACTGAAGATAGCTGAGCAAAGAAAAGGGTGGCTTTTCAGATTGCATTAACAAGAGTGCCTACTTCAGCGTCATGGTCCCAGACGGCGCGCAGGGCAGGCCGATGAACACGAGGTCATGGGCACAGATTTAAGCTCCGAAACACTGAGGGGGAGGGGGGATTTGCATGGGATTCCAAATGCCGTACAGTGTTCTTTAAAGTCTAGTAACGTCCGTTTGACGTCTCCACGAGTAAGTTCGAAGCAGCCTGACAGTAAATAAAGAAATCAGATATAGCAGTGCGGCTCAAATGAGGTTGTTAACAGTGATCGCGTGCGGCGCAATTTTAACCGATTGCAATGAAATAGTTAAATTGTTTAAATTAAGTTAATAAAGTTGAGATTTCAAACCTGAATCTGATCTAAATTAAAGTATTTTTGACAAATATTTACTTTGCTACGGCTGTTTGAAAAATGTCTATTTCTGTGGTTTTAACGGAAAATTGGCTAGATACGGACTAATGTGACACATTGAGTCAAATAAGTAATGTTTGTTGGTCATAAAATTGTTGCCGAATAAAATGGACACAACCTCTGCCAAAAATCCGTTAATAAAAATACCATTAAATAATATTCATTCGTAATTTTCTAAAAACTAGGGAAAAATACTACAAAAAATGAGGTGTGTATGGGTTTTTTGGCACCACTATATCGATTTGAA